CTGAAGGAAGAGACTACAATGTAGCATGAAATACACAAGTGTGGATGCTACTGCATTGCATGATTATGAAATTATACAAAAATATAATGGAGACTTGCACAGTAGCATATTTTACTTGTGCTCACATACTTTTTGAATAGACATGAACAGTTATTCAACACAAGCTGTTCATTTCAAGGTCATTAGGGGAAATTATTTAGCAATAAATGGGGAAGCTTGAACATTTACAACCAAGTCCCTGTGAGAAAAGCTTGTATTGATTGCATTGTATATTTGCATTGAAGGGTGGATTTAATTTCTCACCTTTTCAGAGTTCAGAAGCCCCTGAATTAGATCACTGTCTGAATATATTGAAACAAAATTCATCTAATGCCATTCCAATGGCACACAATTCATGATGCACAAATAAAGACTAAAATCTTTAATAGAAATGGGCCTGTATTATTACTACGGTGATCCTCTTATGGAAAAGAGTCACAGCAACTGATTCTTTTTGGAAGGCTGTTGGATCTCCTGTGAAAGAGCTGTGACTGACTGAAATTGCTACTGAGAAAATGTTGTCATCATTACACTTTGTAAATTACTCAGGGCCAATGCACTATGTAGTCATCAGCTCCAGAGTGTGTGCCCTAAGCAAGGAGCCGTGTGTCATATTACACATCCAATATCTGCACCATGTGCTCCTTTAAACACTCACAGTCAGCGCATGTACAGGGCACAAAGCTCAATAAATTTGAATTCATACTTGTTGTGCCTACAAGACCTGTTTGAAACATGTATTTCAATGGAGACCTTTTCACCAATGTTTTACAAATGAGGTTTTGTCAAAAATTCGGCACTGTGACTTAAACTTTTCCTTATTTAATAATGGCTGTTTGTGGTAGAGCCAACGTAATTGTTGCCTTTTGAAAATTTGCGATGAGGAACAAAGGGCTTGCAATCTGCAAACTCAGATTCTTTAAAGCTATGCTCCATTTGCCAGTTTAGCCTTTTAGCCCTGAAATATTTCATCATGTGTGACACATAGGTGTGTTCATCTACACAGCGCTTCAATTTTGCAAGGCTCTAGAGAGGAGGATCAAAGAAGACATGCCAGCCATCTACACTCAGTACCTTTTTAGCTCATTTCAGGTGTGACCTTATTAGTTACGATTTGTCACTAACAGGCCCACATGCTTCTATTTAGACAGCTCAGAAGGTATCTACATGAGGTGACAATGCAACAAGTTAGTCTGTGGTTAAAATTGTTTCAGAGATAGTAGGAACTGCAGATGCTAGAGAATCTGAGATAACAAGGTGTAGAGTTCATCCAGCTCTACACCTTGTTATCTCAGTTAGTCTGTGGTCTGGCTGCTTTCTTAATTGGTAGGGTAACCACTCTATCCTTTATATGCAATATCTTGATTAAGGATTGACAAATTGCATGAATTACCTGATGGCATCAATTTCCGTGTTTCGCAGTTGGACGTTGAACACCCTCTTAAAGATGTGCAAATGTGCCATTAAAAGCTGTAACACTGTTTGCTTCTCCATGCAAAGCTTATTCAGTTTTTTCTTGCAATAATTACTGGTGTTCTTAGCTGTGGTCCAATATTTTATTTACTGCATCAGTGCAATCTCTAATTGAACTTGTCGTGAACGGGTGAATGGGTAAGAATAATAAGCAGGGAATAGCTTTGGAAGGCCTCCAGTGGAGGTCATGCTTCCCTACTCCCTCCATGGAATCCACTTCCAGAGTTTGGCACGTAGCTCCTTTACAGTGAGTCAATGGGGGAGGTGGGGGCTTAGTTTGTTGTGGCTTCTCCAAGCCATCATTGTTCCCACTTGTCATGAGTATATACGTGGCACTTTTACTTTAAGTAGATAGAAACTGTAACTTCTTTATTCATTCACAGGATGAGGGCATCACTGGGTAGGCCAGCATTTATTGCCCATCTCTAATTGCCCAGAGGGCAGTTAAGAGTCCTTACCACATTGCTGTGGGTCTAGAGTGACATGTAGGCCAGGCCAAGTAAGGATGGCAGTTTTCTTCCCTAAAGGACATTAGAAAACCAGGTGGATTTTTCCTGACCAGCGGCAATGGATTAACAGTCATCATTAGATTCTTAATTCCAGATATTCATTGAATGCAAATTCTAACATCAGACATGAAGGGATTCGAACCTGGGTCCCCAGAACATTATCTGGGTCTCTGGATTAACAGTCCAGTGATAATACCACTAGGCCATCACCTGAAGAGTACTTGAGAGAGGAGAGAGGAGAGAGATTAAATATAAGAAAATCATGAAGTGTGACTACAAATGGCCACATTCTGCACAATGTAAATGGCAATATGCTGGGATGCATGTCTCTGTCCCTCTGTGGAGAGGTGAGGCATTTAATTATAATGTTTAAAATGGCCCACACAGTCCAATTTGGAGCCTGTCATATAGCTTTGTCAGAGTTTGGGAAACCCAGTAGCAAATTGGAGCAGCCAGAGAGCCAGGTGCTTTTTGCAGCACTGCTCGTGGACCTGGAGAAGTAACTCCTGATCTTCTCCCTCTCTTGTCTCCTGATTACAATTCTCTGAAATGTCTATCCTCCTTCTGTCTATGCTCTGACGTTTCTTCATTGCTAAGAAATTTTCAAGACTGTCCTTGTAACACTGACTTGCCTATCTGGCAACAAGGTAGCCAGCTAGCTCCACAAGACCTTGCCATTCTTCCCTATAAATATTGCAATATTGTCATCCAGGGGCTTTAATAATATTCCATTTGTGTGATTACAAGCACGTGCATAACCATGTTCTGCTGGCAGCATGTTTCATGGTTCAAAATGATAAGATGCTAACTTGTGCCAGCAAAAATCTACTCAGCAAGTGGCAAAGTTTTTTAAAATTCATTCTTGAGATGTGGGCTTTGCTGTCTGGACTGGTATTAATTGCCCATCACTAGTTGCTCTTGAGAAGGTGTTGGTTAGCTACTTTCCTGAACCACAGCAGTCTATTTGATGTAAGTAGATCCATAGGGCCTTTAGGGACGGAGTTTCAGGATTGTGACCTAGTGACACTGAAACGACGGCGATATATTTCCTAGTCAGGATGGTGAGTAACTTCGAGGGGAACTTGCAGGTGGTGGTGTTCCCTTGTATCCCCTGTCCTTCTAAATAGTAGTGCTCATGGGTTTGGAAGAAGAAGCTGTCTAAGGAGCTTTGGTGAATTCCTGCAGTGCATCTTGTAAATGGTTCACACTGAATAATTAGCAGTGAAGGGAATGAATGTTTGTGGATATGGTGCCAATCAAGTGGACTTCTTTGCCCTGGATTGTGTCAAGCTTCTTGAGTGTTGTTGGAGCTGCACTCATCCAGGCAAGTGGGGAGTATTCCAGCACACTCCTGACTTGTGCCGTGTAGATGGTGGACAGGCTTTGGGGAGTCAGGAGGTGTTATCACAAAACTCCCAGCCGCTGAGCTATGAATGTATGTGAAGGAAAGATTTCCTGAGCAAAAACAAAGCATTTCCAAGTGGGAAGTTAAATCTTAACGCTGCTTTTCCTAAAAGCTATACATTAAAATAACTAACCTTCATTATAAGTCCAGACTCACAGCACATACATCAAATACTGAAGCTTGCTCATATTTACCTCATGCACTGCTGGTTGGCAAGATGCCTCCCGGTATTAGCACAGCACAGCATAACCCATTCTTGCTCCAGCTGTTCCTTTCTCATCTGTGACCCATTCCTCTCCATCACCAAGATCTACCTTCATAATGATGACTGTCTTCATCCCCTGCCTCAGCTCGTTCACTGTGGAAACATCATCCTTGACTTTGTTACCTTCAGACCCGGAGGTATTCTCATGATCTAGGTGGCCTCACGTCCTCCATAAACCCGAGCTCACCTGAGGCTCCTCTGGCCATACACTAAATCTATTCATTCATTGTCCCTGTCCTTGCTGGTCTACATTCCATTCCAATCCAACCCGCAATCTTAAAAATTCTCAATTTGCAGTTCAAATTCTTTTTCACAGGATCACCCATCCCTATCTCTAATATCCTCAACTACTACAAACTTAAACATCACTGCATTTCTCCATTTCTAGCATCTCCGGTGCCTTTGATGCCTAAATCCTAAACTTTGGAATTCACCCACTAAGTCTCTCTGCCTGTTAGCCTGTCTCTTCTCCTTTAGGCATTCCTAAAAACCTATTTATTTGATAAAACCTTCAGTAATCTGTCTTAATATCTCTTTATGTGGCTCACTATTAAATTTTGTTTGATAATATGCTTGTGATGTTTTAAGACTGCTAAAGGTGCTATTTAAATGTAATTTGTTGCTGCAGCTGCTGTGATCAATGAATACAGAGGCTGTACTCCAATTCAACAAAATTACTGCTTTTATCTAAAGTGAGCCCCTCAACTCTAAAGAATCAAACCCATTTTCTTTTGGGTAAAACTTCCAGAGCTGCACTTCCAAAGGGGAATCCTACTCTTGCCTTCTTTCTTTCTCAACTGCCAGCAGTAAAGTTCAAATCCGTTTATTTCAGTGTGCAGCTCAATTTAAGCTGTGAGGAGCAAACCTTTAAGACCTACTGAATTCCCTGGATATCCAGCTAATGCTGGTCTATTTGGGTTAGTTAATCTAGGCAGGGAATGCTTGACGATTATTCAAGTAGGCTGACCTTACAAAATCATACACAACCATTTCTCTGTATCACTTCAGCACTTTGTGCATGATATATTCTGATCTAACTGATACTTCGACAAGAGTGGGTAATCAATCTTTAATTCCCATAATTATGGAACAGTCTGGGCCTTTGGTATCTACAGTAACTTGCATATACATTACTTGGCTTCAGAAATCAGAAGCGTCAGGTTTATATGGCAGTTCTGCTTTTTGCAGTCGCCTCCATCTGCACTCTGTTGTTACACCACCTAACATCTAAGGTTGCAAAGAAAAGAGGAAACTGCTTTGATGTAATTTGTGGTTAAGTGAACTAACTGTAACCATTTTGTTTTGACAGAATAGTGAAAATGATGGAGTAATTGACAGCTGAACATCCCCTTACCGTCCCAGCCCCCATCATACTTTCAGGCATAGGATGACAAAGGGAAGTCCACAAGTCACATGATTAAGCACAACTGTTCACAGCGTGACTGGCTTGCTTTCATTTACAGTAATTAATTGGCAAAGTTTAGCCTGGTGGAGTCATGTCTGATACAGCAATGAAGGCCTGACACACATTAAAGTTTACTTATAACATATTTTATGAAAGTATTTTCAAGTTCCATTTCTCCGCTATGTACCTAAGACTCTAATACTACACTAAGGATCTATGTAATAACTATTTATAATTTACTTTGATTGCCAAGGTCACCATTGCCACCTCAATGTAAACCAAAAGTGTGCAGTGGGGCCTCTATAATGTATTTCCATTATTTGTAATTAAGGCTGGAAGTACACATTCACGTTATACAAATTCCACCACTTCTCACGACTTGGAGGATGTGGGAAGAATTGTTAAGTAAGTGCCTCCACATTTACTCTAAAACTGCACTAATACTGAAGTTTTCCACCCCTGTATTATTATTTCATTTTCAATAGTTATGGCCAAGGGTGGACTGTCCCTTTAACAATGTTGCAGCACTTTTGCTTCATTCAGTCAGTAGAGTGGGCGTCCGTAGCAGCTCTGGCATTTACATCAAAGAGAAAATTTCACTTTTAAGTCAGACTGCTTTATTTGTGCCAGTTACTACAGTATGGGCCCAGTCGTGAAGGACTATAGTGGGGGAAGAATTACTCCTGTCACCAAGGGGTGTGGGAAACCGAGTGATTTGTCAATCTGTTTATGCCTGCTCCCACTCAGTCATTCAACAATTAAAAGTTAAAACTCTGCAGCAGTTTTGTGCAGTGATGAGCACCACAATTTAAGAAGGATGTGAACTCTTCAGAGATGAGGCAGAAAGGGCTTAGGAGGATGGTTGTATGGATGAGAGCCTTCAGTCACAAGGTTGAGAGGAGATTCAAAACCATGAGGAGTCTGGAAAGAAAATGTGTTCCCTTTGGCAGGAGGGTTGATACCGATCTATACAAAGTAATAAGATTTTCTCCAGTTCTCCATGGCACTGGTGAGAGCATGTCTGGAGTACTGTGTGACAGTTTTGGTCTATTTATTTAAGGAAGGATGCAAATGCTTTGGAAACAGTTCAGAGAATGTTCCCAGACTAATACCTGGAATAGGCAGGTTGTTTTCTGAGGAAAGATTGGACAAGCTAGATCTGTATTTGATGAAATTTAGAAGATCAAGAAGCAACTTGATCATATCATAAGATTCTAAGGGGGCTTTAAAAGTTAAGTATGGGAAGGATGCTTCCTCTTGTGGGAGAATCTAGAACTAGATGTTACTATTTAAAGAAGAGGTTATCCATTTAAAGCAGAGATGGGGAGAAATGTTTTCTCAGAGAGGGTTGTGAGTCTTTGGAACTCTTTTCTGCAAAAGGAGGTGGAAGCTGAGTTTTTGAATATTTTGGAAGCAGAGTTAAGTAGATTCCTAATAGGAAGGTTATCAGGGGAGGACAGTAATCAGCCATGATCTTATTGAATGACAGAGCTGTCTAAAGGGGCTAAGTGGCCTACTCCTGCTCCTGTTTGGTATGTTCTAACATGGCTCAGGAAGATTCAACCATGGCTTTCAAAAGGTAATTGCATCAGTATCCGAAGAGGAAAAAGTTGCTTGGCAATATGGGAGGGGCCAGGGAGTAGGCACGTACAGAGATGTTTTCGCAAAGAAAGCATTGTACACAGCAGGTCAAATGGCTTTCTTCTGAGCTCTACCACTCTAGCATTGAATGATTTAAAACTTAAGATTTTCCGCATAAATTTGTTTGAATGCTCTTTGCTCCAAGATAACAAGTCTATTCAGGCTAATATTCTCAGGACTTGGGTTCGAATTCCACCATGACAGATGTTGAAATTTGAATTTAATAAAAAATCTGGAATTAAAAGCAAGTCTAATGACAACCATATAAGCACTGTCAATTGTCATAAAAACCAAGCTGGTTCACCAATATCCTTTAGGGAAAGATACCTGTCGTCCTTATCTGATTTGGCCCACATGTGACTCCAGACCCACATAAATGTGGTTGACTCTTCACCGCCGTCTGAAACAGCCTGGCAATCCACTCAGTTCCAGGGCAGTGAGCAATGGGCAAAAAATTCTGGCCCAGTCAGCAATGTCCACATCCCACGAACATAAAAAAAATGAAACATTTGCATTTAGAGATGACTTTTCCAATTTCTGAATACAGCTGAAGATATTTTATCCCTGATGTATTCAGTTGAATTCCAGTACTCACTGTTCATTGTATGGACAGATTTTTGTAGCTGTTTTTCTCAGAAAACGTTCCAAAGAAAATAACCTTTGAGTCTTTTTAGCTGTGGGCCAAGAATATTAGATAGGGCCAAGAATCACATTCTCACCTAAAGGAAAAAATCTTTAGCAATGTGACACTACCTCAATTCTGAAATCAAATGTCAGAATAGATTAAACACACTAGTTCTGGCGCAGGAATTGAACTTATAAATGTTCTGGCAGCAAGGCTGCCACCATGCAAGCTGATACAAGTATAATATGCTTCATGGGAAGAACACGCATTCAAGAGCTCTAAACAACAAATTACTTCCTTTTGTTTTGTGAGCAGATTCTGCAGCCAATTTGAGCACAGCAAGATCCCATAACAGCAGTGAGATCACAGGGCAAGTACTGTGAGGATCGTCTGGTCTTCCTTGACCAAATGACACAGGCTCTTTTACATAATCTTGCACCAGCCAGTCGGGCCTTTTGTCAACTCAGCCAAAAGACAAGAAGTCTAACAGTAGTGAAGCATCAACTTGAGCCCATCGTTTTCAGTTTAAGGGAAGAGTGCCAAGTTAGCACCTAATAAAGGCTTTTTTATGAAAATGTGAAAAAAATGCATTGCGCAACTGTCCACCAATTTTTATGCAACGTTGTTACAATATCACAACTACATTTTGCCATTTAGAATTCAAGAACAAAATGACTACTTGCAGTTGCCTTATTTTCGGTGGATGGATGTGCTCTCCAGTCAAGGCTAACCCATGGGGAGTAGAAAGACTTCTGGTTTGATCCCTGGTTGCATTACCTAATGTCAGCCAGTACAGTAGAATGTGCTGCTTGAGGAAACAGAAAGGATAAAGAAATAAGCAAAGGTTTCCATTCCTAATTACTATGCAGCAAAGCCCCTCCTTCTCCCATAAAATTGAGTAAGTGCTTATTTCTACACTTGCCTAAAATATCTGGATTATTTTTATGCCTGGCTCAATTTTAAAATATTCTCATAGGCTTCTCCATTTCTAAGCTAAAAGAAGTTCTGATGAAACCACAAGTAAATATTGTTTACTATAAGTACTCAAATTATTTGTTTTCTGAATCAACCATTGGGATTTTGATTAAACTACCTCTGACTGAAAAGAAGGTGGATTTTTTAGTTAAAGACAGTACAAACACTGATAAGCTTCCCATTGCTTGCAAACCAGGATTACCCTTGTCAAGAGGCTCAGCGTCAATGCTCCATTCACTCAAATCTAGTCATACTGGGCAGGGGTTGGATTTTTACAGAATTCAAGTTTCATCATCTGCCATGGTAGGATTCATCACATGTCTGCACAGAAAGAGCCTGGGGCTCTAGGTTACTCATTCAGTGATATTACCACTGCATCATCCCCTCCACTCTCAGAGGGCTGGATAATTCATAACCCCCTACCACCCCAATGACTGGGAGTGTTTTTGGCAGGTGATCACACAGCAGCAAAGCTCAGCGCAATCTGGAAGAACAACACCTCATTTTCCACTTGGGGACACTGCATCCCTCCGGACTCAATATCGAGTTCAATAATTTTAGGGCCTAAACCCTGCCTCGTGTCAGCCACTCCTCCACACACCAGGCCTTGTTATCACACAGCCTGCCATTACACACCACCTGTTATTAGTCACTAACAGTCCCCATTAACGACTAAATAAAAACCGAAAGAACTATGGATGCTGTAAATCCGGAACAAAAACAAAGTTGCTGGAAAAGCTCAGCAGGTCAGGCAGCATCTGTGAAGGAAGAAAATCTGAGGAATAGTCACCGGACCCGAAACATTAACTCTGTTTTTTCCTTCACAGATGCTGCCAGATCTGCTGAGCTTTTCCAGCAACTTTGTTTTTGTTCCCATTAACAACTATGCACCCGTCCAGCGTGATCATTATCAACTCTTTGTCTGTCCAACTACTCTTCTCTCTTTTTAGGCTCTGTCCTATTGTTTACTCCCTACCCCATGCCCTCCCTATTTTCTGCATATAAACTGACGTTTTCCCAGCCACCATCAGTTCTGAGGAAGGGTCATTGGACCCGAAACATTAACTCTGATTTTTTTCTTCACAGATGCTGCCAGACCTGCTGAGCTTTTCCGGCAACTTTGCTTTTGTCACACAACCTAATTCGGCTGGCCAGCAAACCATCTTCCCATCTACGCACAGTCCCATGGAATGTCCCAATCATCATCTGTAAATAAATAATTAAGGGAAATTGAGTTTGTCAAAAGCTCAACTGACCCTGATAATACACTGTCTGTGTTAAAATATGGTTGGTGTGAGACAACTTCTTTTAAAGAAGTTTAGAAAACTGCTGTAATGAAAGAGGAGTACAATCTACTTGGGGTGCCCCTTGCCCATCAATGGCATCCCCCTTCCTCCCCCACCTGCTGTGAGAACCCCACCCCAAAACCTACTTCCCCCACCCCCAAAGATATTTGAGCCCTCCCCGACACAATACTACACTTCAATCCCATGCTGCCTTTGTCATGGGCCTGCCTGCAGTACCAGAAACCCCCACTACAGAGCTCATGGCACTGCTCTTGGGCAGGACCTCCTCCTCCGTGAAGTCCCAGAATTAGGCAATTAAACCCCTTCACAGTGCATTATACCTGTGGGGGAGTCTCCTTTCTGATCTACTGGCTGCTGCCAACTTTCTTTCTCTACCTGAAATTCTGTCATGGCAGGAAACAACTGGAGGAGAGTGGAAATGGGTTTGGGGATGCCCAAAAACGTCCCTGATAAGGTGAAACCTCCCTACTAACTCATGGGAGTCTCTGGCTTGTGACCAACCTAAATGAGAATTTTCATTCAGGAAGGAAAGAAA